CAGGTTTTTTCTTTTATTTTGCCTTTTAACGGCTGAGAAATTAAAAAGAGAGAAAAATAACCCAGCAACATGGTGCCATTAAACAGCGTGCAATTTATGATCTGATAGTCAGATTTAATGTAGGAATGTTTCATGAATACTATTGTATTCTTCAATTAATTAATCTTTATGCAAGGTATTGGTTGAAATGAAAAAAGTTAGTGTCACGAGCGGGATTCGAACCCACGACTTTCGTCTTCGAATCCCGTTCTTGACACTAACTTTTTCATTTCAACCAATACCTTACATAAAGATTAATTAATTGAAAGAAGTTATTTGGTCAATTGACCACGAAATATAATGGACCATTGTATCAGTAACACTTTAATATCTAATGTGTAGAATAATACTTGAACTTTTTACAAAAATTGTTGTTGATTATTACCTTTAAGATGGATTGACTATTACCTTTGCGAAGTATTTAAAAGCTGTGTAAGTTTTTATGCTGTCAATTTGCAAAATTATTATTATAATACATCACGTTTCTTTCTTTTTGGTTGTTGTGAGGTTCTTTTATTTATTTGAATTTTAAAAAAAAGTCCATTTTTTTTCTTGTAATATATAATTAATTTCAAAAGATTGTTCGTGAAAACGCACTCATCGTTGTTAGATGACCTGCAACTTTACTACGAAGTATGTTTTTTTATACATTTTTTTGGTTCAATCGTTAATTGAACGAGTTCGGAAAAAGTTCAATTTGATCAGCAAAATATTCAGTTTGATTAGAGGAAAGTTCAGCTACAACAGCAAAAAGTTTAATTTGTTTTTGAATTACTCAGTTGGATCATAAGAAATTTGAAAAAGGTGTTCAATTTGACGGGGAAAATTTTCAATTCGATATCAAATTGAAAAGTCCAATTTGAATTGGAAAAGTTCGGTTTGTTCAGGAAAAAGTTAAATTATGACCTGAAAATGAACGGTTTCAGATGGACCTTTAAAATGTTCAATTTGATCTTCAGAAAGTTTAATTTGATCAGGAAAACGTTTAATTTGATTTTTACAAATTCCATTTGAACGCAAAAAGGTCAGTTGATTCAACTTATCTGAAAAAAAGTCATTTGATTAACCTTGATCTGAAAAAAAAAAATTAATCAGCAAAAGGTTCAGCTTGATTTGGAAAAGGTTCAATTGGACATGGAAAATATTCAATTCAGTATCAAGTAAATTTGATATGGAAAAAGTCCAATTTTAAATAGGAAAAGTTCGGTTTGGTCAAGAAAAAGTTCAATATGGTCTGGAAATGAATGGTTCCGTTGGATCTTTAAAATGTTCACTTTAATCCGTAGAAAGTTTAATTTGATCATAAAAACGTTCAATTTGTGATGGAAAAATGCAATTTAAATGAGTTGGATTGATGAGTGATGGAAAAAGTTCAAAAAATTTGATATCGAAAAAGTTAAATTTTTGTTGGAAACGTTCGGTTTGGTCAGAAAACAGTTAAGTTTGACCTACAAAAATAATTCCATCAGAAAAATGTCTAATTTAAGCTGGAAAAGTTCAATTAGATTTGGAAAAAGTTTAATTTGATTAGAAAAAAGTAAATTTAAGATGGAAAAATTCAATTTTTGTTTGTGAAAAGTGGAAATTGAACTTTTTCAAGTTCAATTTCATCAGTAAAAGTTTAATTTGATTTTTAAAATTTCCATTTGAACGCAATAAGGTCCATTGGTTTACATTGAACTGAAAAATGTTGAATTTGATCAGGAAAAGTATAAATTGTTTTTTAAAAACTAAATTTTATCAGTAAAAGTTAAAAATTGTTTTTGAAAATTACACTTTGAAAGCTAACCATTCGATTTGATCAGAAACATTTTATTTCATCTTAAAATATTCAATTTCATCACAAGAAATTAAATTTGATTTGTAAAAGGTTCAATTTGACAAGAAAAATATTCAATTTTGGATTTAATTTGATATTGAAAAAGTTAAATTTCTGTTGGACACGTTCGGTTTGGTCAGAAAACAGTTAAGTTTGACCTACGAAAATAATTCCATCAGAAAAATGTTTAATTTGAGCTGGAAAAGTTCAATTTGATGCGCAAAAAGTTTAATTTCATTAGAAAAAAAGATCAATTTGAGCTGGAAAAATTCAATTTTATTTGCGATAACTGGAAAAAGTTCTATTTCATCAGTAAAAGTTTAATTTGATTTTGAAAAATTCAAATCGTTCAAGCTTATCTGGAAGTAGTTCATTTTCATCTCGAAAAAGTTTAATTTGATCCAATACTAATAAGACTTCTAGTTGACTAGGAAAAAGTCCAATTAGAGCTGAAAAGTACAATTTGACTTGGAAAAAGTGCAGTTTGTCCAACAAAAGATTCACTTTGATCAGGGCCCAGCTATCTTTGATTTGTCGGAGTCTTTGACGAATTAAATTTCCGTTTTCAAAATTTCAAGGCCAGGGGGAAAAGTTTCCGCCCTAGACGGAAACAGATTTCTGGAAATGCCGACATGCCGAGTTCATCCCTCACACGACTTGAGCATAAACTCTTGCAATATTATTATTCTTATAAATATAATAAAATCTTTAGATAAGAAGCAAATTTGACAAATTTTTGCAAATAAAAACACCACCTAACAATTTTCTTATCTACTGGTTCCTTTTATAAATAAAGTAGGGTTTCACTGAAAGTAATGAAAACATTTGAAGGGTTTCGCGTCTCTCATTTTTCTTGTTCAAACCTAATTTTCTGAATTTAATAAACGTTCTTTCATCTTGATTCTTTTTTCCAGAAGTAAGTAAATTTCCAAAGGAAAATTTTTGTTTCGGTTGTTAATTAAAGCTCGAGATAATATATAAAGCTCTATTTTTCGCTAATTTATTTAACTGTATTACCATGTATAAGAGTTTTCTTTCGGTACGACGATTTTTAAGGTTGAAAGTATTCGCCCTAGAGATGATGGAAAGGAATTCTTCCAGTAAATTTACTCCTTAAAGCCCCTGGCGATCCAATAGGGTGGGCTTGAGTGAAAAATACGTGTAGACTATTCGTCCGTGGCCGTAAATGGATTTTCATTTTGCAATTACATAGCTAGTTGAATGGAAATATCTGTGTAGGTATTTGAATTGACACTGGAACCGGTATTTTTGTGAGTTTCATCCTCCAATTCGTAAGCCAGATTGTGAACATTTTATTCTGTTTTTTGTCATTTGGTTTATTTTTTTACATGGATATGTTCTCGTCTGGATACACTAGTTGTTGCATAACCATTTTCTCGTCAACAATTTTGTTTTAAGTTAGTCATGGTTTGGTTAAGTAATGTAGGTTTAGGATTTTGCAAGGGTTAGAGTTAGTAATTGTTCGGTTAGGTAATGTGAGTTTAGAGTATGGCTAGGGTTAGAGTTAGTAATGGTTTGTTTAGGTAATGTGAGTTTAGGGATTGGAAAGGGTTAAAGTTAGTAATGGTTTGGTTAGGTAATGTGAGTTTAGGGATTGGCAAGAGTTAAAGTTAGTAATGGTTTGGTTAGGTAATGTGAGTTTAGAGTATGGCAAGGGTTAGAGTTAGTAATGGTTTGGTTTGTTAATGTGAGTTTAGAGTATGGCAAGGGTTAGAGTTAGTTTGGTTAGGTAATGTGAGTTTAGGGTTTGGTAAGAGTTAAAGTTAGTAATGGTTTGGTTAGGTAATGTGAGTTTAGGGTTTGGCAAGGGTTAAAGTTAGTAATGGTTTGGTTAGGTAATGTGAGTTTAGAGTATGGCAAGGGTTAGAGTTAGTTTGGTTAGGTAATGTGAGTTTAGGGTTTGGCAAGGGTTAAAGTTAGTAATGGTTTGGTTAGGTAATGTGAGTTTAGAGTATGGCAAGGGTTAGAGTTAGTTTGGTTGGGTAATGTGAGTTTAGGGTTTGGCAAGGGTTAAAGTTAGTAATGGTTCGGTTAGGTAATGTGAGTTTAGGGTTTGACAAGGGTTAGCACCAGGGTGAGGGATAGTCAGGTTAGGTAGAGTTAGGGTTAGGAGTCAGATTAGGTAAGATTATGATTAGATCAGGATTAGCAATGGTTAGATGAAGTAAGATTAAGATTAGATCAGGGTTAGGGGTGGCTTGACTTGGTAGAACTACAGTTAGAAATGGTTAGGTTAGGTAGAGTTTGGATTAGATATCCTATGAACCACAAAAAAGTAAATAAATAATATAACTATAATATAAAACCAACTTCTTATTGGAATGCCACATTGGTGGTGGATCGAAGGGTATCCTACAATTCATGTCAAGAAGCGTATTTGTAACTCCTTCAACCTGATGATGAGCGTTGAATGTTTGAAGTCCAGATCATTTTTCTAAAGTGATTTAACAACATACTGAACCCACCTTTATAATTTCTGTTTCATTGTTTATGTTGTGTGAATTATTTATGGGACAGCAAACACCAAGCAGTCATCGTCAGCCCTCTGCATTTTCTTTGAGTTTTTTTTTCTTTGTCACTGGACCTCTCATATTGTGTCTCCTGTTTTCTTAACTTGCTAAGCTCTCGAAGGTACTTCAGGTTGTCCAGTTATTATTAAAAGGCCAAGAAAACACAAACACTTAATACATAAAGATTTTCATGCCTCCCACCTCCCTTAGAAACACAGCTAGTAACGAGAGCTCTCTGCTCTCTGCCGTAAACACCTGAGAGACCTCTACATAGAGAAATACCAACAATTTCTTTATATCGTCTTACATTACTTTTTTTTATTAATTACTTTCTTATAACTTGAGATATCTCCCAAGACATGCTGTTTTGTTGTCGTTATACATATTGAATTTTATAGGAGCTTTGTTATTTGTACTTCTCCTGGCATTGTTGTATTGTTTTCCTAGATAAATAGAATACTAGATTGGCTATAATTAGAAGCGATTAGATTTTGGGTATCTTATCTTGAATTTTAAAAAATTATTTTGTCTTGTTGTAATCAATCTATAATCATTAGATTTTCTCTTATTACTTCGGACAATTGGTTTTAAAAAATGTGTTTGTATTTTAGGTAATGATGGCTCTAGCCTCACATCTTCAAATTGTAGAAGCCGAGAAGCAAAAGTTGAGGACCCAGGTACGTAGGCTGTGCCAGGAAAATGCCTGGCTCAGGGACGAACTGGCCAACACCCAACAGAAACTCCAGGTATCCGAGCAGGCGGTGGCTCAATTGGAAGAGGAGAGAAAGCATTCTGATTTCATGGCTTCTGTTCAAAAGTACGACCAGGATGTTATGGTTCGTATATTGCTAAATATTAAAAAAAAAATAAAAATTGAGTTTTAATATTGGTTTTAATTTTATTAAAGGATGAATCTCAGTCTGAATCCAAACAGGATAAGCCCAAATCAGACGACCCAGTCGTAGATCTTTTCCCCGATGATGATGCAGAAGAAAGAAACAGTAAATATTAAATTTATTTAAAAAAAAATTGTCCATTTTATAATTTTAATATTTTGTTAGCCATGTCACCAACACCACCCAGCCAATTTGCCCAACAAGTCAATGCTGGTTATGAAATCCCAGCAAGGCTGAGGACACTACACAACCTTGTGATACAATACGCTTCGCAGGGTCGTTACGAAGTAGCCGTACCTCTGTGTAAACAGGCGTTGGAAGATCTTGAAAAGACGAGCGGTCATGATCATCCTGATGTTGCAACCATGCTCAATATACTTGCTCTCGTCTATAGGTAAGTTATTTTTTCTATTAATATTGGTTTGGCAAGAAAGTTTTAAAAAATAATTTAACGGGTAATCATGTCATTGGATAAAATGCATTTAAGACATTTTTTACTTTATGAATTCAAAAAAGGGCACAGTTTTACTGTTGCAACTGATAATTTGTGTGCAGTGTTATTACACTACTATTTATGCTACTGGTGGTACTAATGCTATAAGTGTTCATAAAGTCCTGTGGTGGTTTGCTTGATTCAGAGAAGGAAATTTTGTGTTCTTGAAGATGATGCCCGCAGTGGACGTCCTTCTGTATTTGTCGATGACATATTGAGGCATAGGCAAGAAGAGAATCCCTTTTTTGACGGCCCGGGAACTAGGAGAGATGTTAAATGTTTCCCATACAACTATTGGAAACCAAATCAAAAGATTTGAGTTTGTTGAAGAGTACGTTACATGGATCCCACTCAAACTTGGAATCTGGTGGATCACATCTCAATTTTCTCTTTACTCCTCTGCCCCTTATGACCCATTTCTTCATAGATTGGTAACGTGATGAAAAATGGATCACATAAAAAACATCTACAAAAAGCTTATTGCCAACCTGGTCAACGGCCACCAGTTGTTCTAAAACTTAAAAAAAAAAATTGAAAAAACATTTTGAGCTTTTACTACAAGAGCAGAAGGTTAATAGTGAACTGTACTGTGAACATCTTGCCTGTTTCTCAAATAAAGCAAAAACAGCCTGTCTAACATAAAATATTTAGTCTTTCACTACGACAACACCTGCCCCATGTTGCTTTAAGTACCAAACAATTATTAACTAATCTGAACTGAGAAATTTTATCACACCCGTCATACCTCTCTCTGGACATTTCACCTTACAACTACTTATTACTGTCATTGCAACATTTTTTAAACGACCAAAACTTTGAAAGTGCTCCAACAGATGTTCTCTCGTTCCTGGACTCAAAAGATGATAATTTTTATGTGAAAGGAATAGACATGCTACCTGAAAAATGGCAAAAATAATTGCAAACAATGGTCAATACTTCTCTGAATAAGTTAAAATATGGACAATTTTTTTTAACAACTTGTTAAAATAAGGGCAAAAAATTGTTTTTTAAAAATCACACAAAAAACGGCTATAAATTGGAAGGGGCAATCACCCGGATAGGAACAATGTGATGCCTCCCACCTATCTGGGAAATAAAACTCTACAATAATTAAGGAGTTGGTCACTTGGTCGAAGGGTGTCATAGCACAAACAGGCGTGACGTGACGTTCCTCACAAATGAGGGAAACCTAACCCTGCAATAATTACACAGTTGGTCAAATAAATAAGAACGTCGAAGGGTGTTGCAGACCCAGACAGGAGCCACAGGATGTTCTCCCACGAACCTGGAAAACATAAAGTTGCAATAGTGGGACACCCGATCAAATAAACTAACATCAAGTTATTTAGTGCTGAAGGGTTGTCACAAGACTAAAAGTACGTGGGGCAGTGTAAATTGGGGGTTCAACCAGGTATGTGATACCCGTCCTTGCTGGTTCACCCGCGTCATGGGAATTTTCCAGTCTTTTGACTTTTCTTTCTACCTTTACTCCGGTAGAGAAACCTGGTATAAAAAGGGAAGATTTGGAAACCAGTCAGTCTAGCCCAAGGGCTCAAAGGCTCAGACCAGTCAGTCAAAGATTCACCCCAGGCAGTGAACAGTCAACTCCAGGAATCAATCTGGAACAGAAGCAGCCACACTCCGTGTGGGACTCAGCTAGCTGGAGCCAGTGAAGGACAGCCATGACAACCCATCAGATCTAGTCGATACCAGAAAGGCACTGAGATGCTGTGGTTGTTTATCGTGGTGAGCGTGATTTCTGGTAAGTCCCTTTGTAAATAGACTCATCCCACATTTAGAGCTGTGACTGACAAGTTAGATTAATTAAAATTTTGTGTTGGTTGGGTACATTTGAATGACAAAGTATGTTAAAATAAATGTTGAATATACTATCTGATTTATTAAATCTCAAACCTTACCTGCCCCTACACAAAAATAAATAGCATAGCGCTACTACTCTATTATCGCTTAGAGAAAAAGAAGCAAATTTAGAGAGATTATTTGACCATTGCACAGTCGCCCACTTATACAGTAAAAAAAGTCATTACTTTCTTGCCAACCCAATATTTCATTTATATTTGAGAGATTTGAAATAAATTCTGTACATTTATATTCTAAAGGGACCAGAATAAGTATAAGGATGCTGCAAACCTTCTAAATGACGCTCTTGCTATTAGGGAAAAAACTTTGGGAGAAAACCACCCTGCGGTAAGTTTAATAATAATTGAATTTTTTATTTACTGTTCCATTTAATATTTTATTTAGGTTTTTGTCAGATTGTTTTGTTAGGCACTATATATAATATTTATTATAGGTGGCAGCAACCTTAAACAATTTGGCTGTTCTTTATGGAAAGAGGGGCAAATATCGGGATGCTGAACCCCTCTGTAAAAGGGCTTTAGAAATTAGAGAAAAAGTGTTAGGACGCGATCACCCTGATGTCGCAAAGCAGTTGAACAATTTGGCTTTACTCTGTCAAAACCAGGTAATAAAATGCCAAGGCATAAAAGCTAGACCGGTGTATTTAACAAATTTTTATATTTCCAAGGGGAAATACGAAGAGGTAGAACGATATTACCAAAGAGCTCTCGAGATCTACGAATCGAAACTAGGACCTGACGACTCGAACGTTGCAAAAACGAAAAACAACCTAGCCTCCTGTTATCTAAAGCAAGGCAAATACAAAGAGGCTGAAATTTTGTATAAGCAAGTCCTGACACGAGCGCACGAAAGGGAATTCGGAACTATAGACGGTAAGGGCACTTAAACTTGAATACATCTGCATTGTTTAATTACTTTTTTTATGTAGCTTTCACCACAGCATGTTAACTGTAGTTTTTCATTTTTTTTTTTTAACTATTACTCTCAAAGATGATTTTCTTGTCTGTATGAAAGGAAAAAGTGGAAAATTTTAAGATACGTAAAACATAAAATCCCAACAAACTTGACATCACAAGAAATTTTATTTTTATGTTATTGTATAAGCCAGAGCAAATTTGAAGCTTGTTATATAATTATATATAGTTGTGTATAATTTACTTGGTAAAATGTAGACATTATAGTTTAATAAATTACAATGGGAACCCATTAATCCAGAATTTGTCCAAAAATTATTTTTTTTTAAAATGTACAGTCAACTCTTGATAACTTGAATTTCAAGGGAAAATTAAAAAATTCGAGTTATCGAGTTTTTCAATTAATTGAGGTTTGAGGTATTGAGCAGGCTAATCCACTTGCTGCGCCATTCTTATCCCTATTTTTTTACAATTGTGGATAAAGTGTTTGGCGGTACGCCGGATTCTTCGGTAACATCACCTTTTTCTTAATATCTTCCACCTTGCTTTCTCCTCCATGCTTAATGTCTTACAATGACGTTTCATAGACTTTTTTTTTGGGGGGGGGAAACCTGGCCAATAAGCTTGAACTGTATCGGGTGCTGTCTGGCGTAGGACTGTTAAGAGAGTGGAGGGAAGAGCCCATCGGGTAAAAAAATGGCATGGTCGTGTGGGCTTACAAAAAATTTTCATCTAATCGAGATTTTCAGTTTGAAATGTTCAACTTATAGAGTTATGTTTTATAAGGAAAACGATGGGGATTTGAAAAAAAATCAAGTTATTAAGGTTCGAGTTGCCAAGAGTCTACTGTATTTGTATAATTTTTTTTTTTTCATAGTGAAAACACTCAAATAAGTTTGCATATCACACATGTCATAATCTTGCTTAATTTCCATTGTGAGAATAGTAAATTTAAACAAAGATAATATAAATAAAGTTTACTTGGGTTATCATCTCTATCTAAATTCTAATGTATCGTATAAAACTTACAATGGAAGATTATAGATATACGATTGTAGGTTTTAATGAATTTTTTTCTGTGATGGTTAACCGAAAAATATTATACTAGTGTCCAAGGATTTATGAAAATTCTAGGAGCTGAGTAAAAAAAGGTAACCTCCTATGAGATGTATTCAGGACAGTTTTGGCACAGTTACTGATTTTGCGATGACTAGTACCCATGTGTGGTCAAGTAAATCTCAGACAGTATTTCTAGGTCATCATGAACTGTTCTTCAATCTTATGCTTCCCACTTTTTGTAAGTTCTTCAAGTTAGCGAGTCTTTGAGATGGACCTATGGCTCTCGGCAGTTCAAAGTATGTCCAGATGGCCCTGAGGCCTAGGAGGCGTCCATTTTCAAAATTTCCTGTTTACATATTCTTAAATTAAAAAGTTTTCATGATAACTTTACAGTTTGTAAAGAGATAAAAAGAACTATTTGACTCCATTCTCAGCATCATTTACATTACTATTAAATATTTTTTATTGATGATGGTACATCTTAAGAGGAATAGAAGGCCGTAAACCTCATGGTTTTATCTCAATCCTTTCAAAAGTTACAACACGTTTCTTTACATAAAACCACAATTTTCTCCACTCTAATGTACTTTCTCCTAACTTTTGATCCCATTTTTAAATTTAGCACCGAATTTCCTTTTAGGTTTTTAGTTTAGTCCACTTTTTTGTTTTTAAATGACCAGTCTCACAAATAATTTATGAACATCATGAAATTTGTGAAATTGTAATTTTGGATCAACTTCTTTGAAACATAGGTTGCATTTCATTTTTAAAAGTATCAAACTAGCTAAAAATGTCAACATTTTATGAGCTTTCCAATAGTCTATTGTAAACTTTGATTTTTTTATGGGCAATTTCAGTCGGAAAATGTGGTCCGGGATGTATCCTGGGAATTAAATACATGGCCCAACAGTTGGTCAGGCATACAAATTAATAATTAGCAAACACATTCTACAATAATTTATTAGTAAAGAAATAAAACTGTTTTTCAAAATAAAACTTGATCTACTCTGTCATGACATAACAAAATGAAAAATCGATGTTTCAAACTGGGTGGTCAGCTCATCGCATTAAATTTTTTTTTGGAGTGGAATAGCTTTATTAGTGTACTATCACCCAATTTGTTTTTTTATTTGCACTATCTCTGGGACACCCTGTAGGGTGTGTATAAACAATTCACTTTGCTGCCTGTCTTTTTTTCTGAGCAGTAGCAGAGGTAGCGGTCAAGTGTCTTTGATGTATTTACATACTCGAGCTATCCTTTTGCATGACAACTTCCCGGAAATGGGGTGTAACGTATAAATACAAGTTACAGAACATTAATACCTCAGACAAAGTGGGAAAAACTAAAAAAAAAAAGATAATTATTAAATTTTTAGGAAGAAACAAGGGGATTTAACACGAATCACAAAAATTGCTATTTTGTGACATTTTAATGTAAAGGGATTTTAAAACAATAAAAAATGAGTGAGATTATGCATTTCTTTTGTTCCACCCATCAGGGGGAATTTTAATTTTCAAAGACAAACGTTTTATCAGTCTCAGGACAAATGGGTTTTCATGTATATTGTTAATTTGTTTCCAGTTATAATAAAAAATAAATAAAAAAACGACTGTATATTTTAAGTGTTTGTTATTAACAAATTTCTTAGTCAAAAATGATTATTTTTTATTGCACGAAAAGTTTTATGTTTTTGTAAATTTTATTCCTCCAATTTTCTTGTTTTAGGGACAAAGAAAAAAAATTTAGAAGCGGAGAAGTAGATTTATATATTCTTTTATTTTTTAAAAAAATACATAATTATGTATAAACAACATAACACTGATAATGTCAATTGTGATTATTTAATAATTATTCTATTAATAGCAAAGCTTTGGCTTTTTTTTCATAATGAGTTTTGGGCAGTATGTTAGCTTTTGAGTAATTAAATTAAGATATTGAAAATTTTAATTAAGGACTATTTACAAGATATTACAATTATTAAATAGTTCCTTTTATTTATGATTATTTATGGTAGTTTTTGTATATGTAGTCCGCACTAGAATTTTTTGTAGCATGTCATTAATTTCCTTTATGTTGTGTTTGGTTTATATTTAAATTTGCCTTTCCTTTAAAATTTTTTTTTTTTACTTTTTCATCAACTACTGCTGATGTGTGCTGTAAAGAATAATTTAAATTGGCAGGAGAAAATGCATGGAGCTTATTGCATAAAAATGCATTCCTGTATTTTTATGATTTTCTTATTATATATTTTAGAAGAAAAAAAAAAAAAAACTGTCAGATCTGTTACTTATTTGTTGAACAACAAACATTAGTTTAGATGTCTGTTATTAAAGATTAAATATTTTATTTTTTCATATTGTATAGTTTCAGCCTTATAGTTATATTTTTTTCAAGACCTTCCCTTCAATTAAGCACGATGTGATCAGTTTTACAAATAAATTTCAATTACATTACAACATAAAACTCTTCGCTTGTGTAATTATGTCAATTAATGTTTGTAAGAGTTTCTAGAATTAAGTTTGACATTTTCAAGAGAAAGAAAAGTTTCTATGTGAATCATATAAAGACGTTTGTTTGAAAGATATATGAGACTTTGTTACTTGTTTAAATTAGAAATTTATTCGCCTGTTTTACAAGTTTTAAAATATTTAAATAATGTTACATAGTACAAAATGTTGATTGATTGATCTTCCTTTATTCTTGTCATTGTGTCTGTTCACTATAAAATACTGTATACATTTGAAATGACATCAGTTACCTGGTGATTGTATTTTTCTATGAAATAAATTATATTGATATTAAACAATCGTAATCTGTGATTATTTAACAAAAAAACTTTTATTTTGTTATTTATATTTTGGTAGGTACATAAAGTTTTTTTTTTAGCTTTTGCAATCATTATTTAATTTAATTTTCTTTTTAATCGCTTTTGTATAAATTTGAAAATCGCCGCTATTACACTGCTTTGCATGCATCACTTGGTGAACTACAACATTGAATTCAGAGGATTGTGCAACTGTTCACTGAGTGCTAATAATATTTCAGAGAGCAGTGAAGGCTGTGTCAGGTTGTTGATAAAATAATTATAACAATCTTGGTTCTCAAATTTATATAAAATGCAGCGTCTTCTGTAAGCATGCTTGTCTCCCTCTTCATTCGTCGTGCGGTGCCTCTGAAAATTGATTAGCACAAGTTCAGTTGTACATAGGCTACATTGGACTGTTTTTCCATTTGCAGGGGATAACAAGCCGATCTGGCAGGTGGCAGAGGAAAGAGAGGAGAACAAGCTCCGTAACAAGGGTAACGTACCGTACGGTGAATACGGAGGATGGCACAAAGCTGCCAAAGTGGACTCGCCGACAGTCACAACCACATTAAAAAACCTCGGAGCTTTATACAGGAGGCAAGGGAAATACGAGGCCGCTGAAACTTTAGACGACTGGGCCCTGCGATCAAGGAAAGAGGTGATTTTTTTTCTTATTGAATTTATGTAATTTATTGTTTTTTTTTTTCTAAATAAAAATCATCAAATTTAACTCTTATCATTGAATTATAAAAACCTTAAATGTCAAGTATGAATTTAAGGATTTTTTTTTCTTCTAGCCTGTGGATATTGTAAAGCATGCCAAGATGGCCCAAATTTTAGCTAGTGGCGAAAGGCGAAGTAGTGGAAAAAACCAAAGGGTCGGGTCAAGAGAATCGCTCGAGTCCATGCAGTATGACCAGACCCCAGAAGATGTAAGTTTCAAATTTTGTATACTGCAAGTTTAAAATTGTAATTAAAACTGGTTAGATTAATAATTCGAGCCCATCTGTATGAGACATTTTCTCAAAAAATAATTTTCATTTTAAATTCTAAGTTAAAAACTATTAAATTAACTAGTTTCGTGGTCCGCTTGACCAATTAATATCATATAATTAAGTAAGGTTTTTAGTTGAGATAGAAAAGTCAATGGCACGAGCGGGATTCGAACCCACGAACTTAGGTTAGATACGCCGCTGCTCTACCACTTGAGCTATCGTGACTTCAATCCACTTGGACACACTTCCCATCTCAACCGCACCTTTTGAATTTTCCCTCTTTTTTGCCATTTTTCAAATGTCGTGTAATCTATTTGATTCTTGGCGGGAAGTTGGTGCCCGAGTGGATCGAGGTCACAATAGCTCAAGTGGTAGAGCAGCGGCTTATCAAGCCGAAGATCGTGGGTTCGAATCCTGCTCGTGCCATTGACTTTTTTATCTCAACTAAAAACCTTAATTAATTGTAAGATATTAATTGGTGAAGCGGACCACGAAACTAGTGAATTTAATAAGTTTAAATGAAGTATACTTCACTAAAGCTCTCCATGGCCATTTCATTTGTCGCCGAGAATCCAATCTGATTACATGACATTTGAAAAATGGCAAAAAGGAGGGAAAATTCAAAAGGTGGGGTTGAGATGGGAAATTCGTGTCTGAGTGGATCAAGGTCACGATAGCTCAAGTGGTAGAGCAACGGCTTATCAAGCCGAAGATCGTGGGTTCGAATCCTGCTCGTGCCATTGACTTTTTTATCTCAACTAAAAACCTTAATTAATTGTAAGTTTAAAACTTCATGAATTTTACTAGCTAAAAATTTAATTGGGTGTGTGATTTGTGTGTCGTTCATAGACCATCGAAGGCAAATAGTTGCCATTTTAAATTGATAAGTTTATGCAAAAAATTTAATTTAATAATATTCAAGTGCATGCGCATGTTAATATATCATTTATCTATTTTTATTTTATTCTGTCCTTCAAACAATTACTGGCTTTCATTAAGATAATAAAATTTGGTTTTCTCGATACAAATCTAAAATCAATAAATTGGAGGTATTAATTTATAAAGCATAATACCATTACACAGCGAGAGAAAATAAACATTAAATAAAAGCTAAATCATATTTTATCTATTTTTTTCCCAACTTTTTAGTGCATGCATTTTTTAATAGACAATAAAACAGTTATGCTTTATATAATTTAATATTGTTTTAGTTTTAAAGGTAAGTTGTGTTCGTGTTTGTTCCTTTCCTAGTAGAATTTATAATAAAGTAATTAGGTTATTGAGAAATTTGTCGTATTTGTCGCAGAGTGCAGCACTAAGTTATGTACAGAGAACACCATCCGGTAACCTGGACACAAAACAAGGTGGAATCAGAACTAAAATTTACAGCGTATTTGGAATCAAACAATAACTTTTAAACCTTTAAACCCTTTTTACTACTACATGCGATAATTATAAATTTAAAAAAATACAAAAAAAAAATAAACTGCTCACTGTTTGTTGTTAATTTATAAAAAAGTTTTATTTTTTAAGATAGTTTTAATAAAATATTAAAGTTGAACGAAAATACTATCTGTACAGAAGAACTAATTTGTGCAAATTAATCAAAAAGTAATTTTAATTTGTTTAGATATATAATAATTTGCAGTTATTTCTTAGTATGGTGTTAAATAATCAATGTTCCTAAAGGGAAACAAAGTAAGTGTTATTAATTATCCGCCCTGTTTAATGCAGGTCTAATTAAAAAAAAAAAAAAATGTTCCTCAATCTAAATATGCTTCCGTAGTCTGATAAATATTTACGACTGATTGATAAAATGGGATATGACTGTCTTTTTTTTTTAAATTTTTTAGAAATCCCAAAAGTTAAATGGTTATCAACTCACAATGATAATTATGTTAATAGATTCTGATTTCAATTTTTTTAAATTTAACATTTACGTTTAATATTTTATCATATATCTTATAATTTATTTCTTCAAAATAATATTAAGTATTATTTATTGAAAGTAAAGTAAATTAAAACTTTCTATAATGTTAAGAGTTTTGTTTATGTCTACAAATCAATAATTTATTGTCTAATTGTGTTTCGTTTTATTTTCAGTGTAAATAAACATTGTGATTTTGTTGTGAGTGATACAGTTTGACAATGGGGTTTCTTAACATTCCCTTTTTGTTACCATATTTATCTAGGCCAATGTTTTCATATAAGAGCTTTTATTTTTGCCCCCTCCCCTTTTATTATCTTATATATTTGACTTATATTCATTTTATAAAACTTAAGCTATAATTAAAGGTTATGGGCGCTACAAATAACTTTGCTGCACCTCTTTTCCTATAGTCCGATTGCACAAATTTTATTTTAAGTTTGCACATGCACAGATTATTTTCTTGTTATCCTCTGTATTTGTTTCTCCCTCTTTGCTTTTTTTTATATTATGTTGTTTTTTTAAATAAATAGATTAAAATCTGCTTGGCATTTACACTTTTTTTTTTTAAAGAACAAATATTTAAAAAAATTGTACTTTTGAATATTGTATAATTGCAGCATTTGTTGCTGATTTTTTTTTTTTTTTGTTAAAAAATTAATACAATAAAGCCAGGCATTACCAGTACATTTATATTTGTATTGTTGTTAAAGGCTTATATCAATTTTATTGTATTTCTAAAAGGATTATTATTTTAGTTGACAAAAAAGTTGTTATTTTATTTTGTAACATTATAAAGATTAATTTAAAATATGACTAAATCGAAATAAAGTGAGACTGTGATTGTAAGGATTAATTTTTTTTTCTTTATTTGTTACATATTCAACCGATCGTTATTGCATGCCATCCCATTTTTCTTTATTCTTTATATGTTCTGCATGACCGATGCACTTGTTAAACTAACACTTCTTTATAGTATGCTGCTGATCCTGCCTCTGTTCTCTGTACATAACAATTGTTAATGTACGTACATATAGTGCTCCGTTAGTGATGGATTGTATTATTTTTTTATTCAGTCTAGAAAGTGCTTTGTTTTTTGTTTTTTCTTGAAATGATTACAAATTTTGCTTTATTGTCTTGATATTTCATTTTAATTTCTTTTTACTTTGTTCATTGTAAATTTCAATATGCTGTGTTAGCAGTGTTGAGACCAAATAGATTGAATATATTAATTACACTGCGGTTTAAAATAACCTTTCTTGATTAGCTATATTTTTCTAAAAAAAAAAGAAAAAAAAGTTAGCTTTATGCCTATAGAAATGTTAAATTAATATACAAAGATTTATACTTGTATTGTGATATTGACCTATGAATTTTCTTGTTTATTTATGCGTTTATTAACTTAAACCTCCAAAACATCGACGTATCTTATCGCTAAAATATTGGCTATGAAAGCACAGTGTAAATAATTTTCTGACTTTAGAGATTTATTTACTCCATGGTAGGATTGTATTTATTGAGCTAGTACGACCTAAAACATTTAATCTTGTTGAAGCATTCAAAACTGGCCGGCTTCCTCTTCAGCAACTAGTTGGAGATTGATTATAGAGGTCTTGTAAATACATACATGCACTTGTGCATTGAATCGAACTTACAACTTTTGGTAGCTTTGTGAAGTATACAAATTTTATGGAGGCCGTGAGGTTCACCTCGGGTTTGGGCAGTTCAGGGCAGACCTCAGCTTTAAGCGGGCCATAGACAATCAATATTATTGCACAATATTTTGGGTCGTGCAATTTAATTGATCGTGTGTGGACAATATTGAAAGTTCGTGCAATACATTGCATGATTGACAAAAAATTGAAAATATATTGTACAACCTGAAAATATTGCACCGCCTGTTGGCATTATTGCGCAATATCAATCAGTTTGTGATGTATCAACAAGTGCACAAAATATTGCACAAACTTCAACATCGTCTTCAAACTATTCAAGTTCATTGCACAAAAAAAATTTTGTACAATATTATTGAACGTTAAGGGGCAACCGTCAAATTATTGTGCAATCTATATTGTACAATTATATTGACCATCTATGGGCCACTTAAAGCTCCAGGGGCTGTCACTACTCCATTTCAGTCACCAAAGCATTTTAAAATCTAAACCCTTTCATTCATTCCTAAATACATTCTTTCCTATTTACACATTCAGTCAAGTAGGGTGGTGGTGTACTGTACAAAATATTCCATCAGTCCTCTACACATTCACGCTAATAAATACATTCTTTTTCAATATACACAAAACAAGATATCTGTCAAGTACTATATGCAATAAAAGAACTTCCAGAATTGTTATAATGGACTAAAATACTTCTTTTCGTGCTCAAGAACAATTCGGATGTGAAGCTTAGAAATTAAGCCCTTCAATTAAGTGAGATACATCAAGCAACCTTTCTCTACACGCAGGACATTTTCACATGTTCAATATTCCATCATCGGTCCTGTCACACTACACATTCTCGCTAATAAATACATTCACTCAATATACACTAAAACCAGCACAAAACTAGATATCTATTGACTATTCTAACATATAGATCCAAATACGCCCTTTTGGATTTTTCATATCAGGTGATAATCTACTAGCTCTTTTTTAAAAAAGATGGTTCCTACTCACATTAAGTTGTTTCGCAACAATCCGGATTTCGAGCCCTTTACCTCGTCAGGTTGAAGGGTTTCCACAATCACGTCTCTCGACATGAATTGCAGAAGTGAACCCACTGATACCCCCGCCAACGTGACGTTCCAATGAGGAGCTGAGTTTTTAATGGCGCTCAATTTAAACGTACGAAAAGCGGGAATTATAACACAAATAACAATTGTAATAGTAAATACTGTAAGAAATTAATTGTAAATTAGTGATTAAAGATAAAAAATAAAAATAAATAAATAAAAATAAAAAATGAAATAATTAGAATAATATCTTAATATTATTAAATTATTATAAAACATAATAATAATTAGAATAATTACTTTAATTATTTCGACGTTTAATATTATTTATGTACATATTTAAAATGGGAGGTAGATCAAAATCTGTTATATTATTAATGCATTTATCACCATGTTCAATTTTACATTTTTTAATTTCAAATTTCTCAAACCAATCTAATTCTCTCCCTTTGTTGAAACTATGTAGCACTCTTGTATTTAGATTTGAATTGAACTTATGTTTTGTTTCTTTTAGATGATCCTTGAATTCCGAAAATTTGTTCGTTTTAGGCAAATGTTCTTTTACTCTCGTTTTTCCCTACCGCTTTGACCTCAATATTTAATATTACAGTCATTACAATTGAGTTGGTAAACCCCACTTTTTGTTGTCTACTTTGTCTTTAGGTTTTGAGAGGATGTTTTTAAGTGAACCCGTACTTCTAAAAGCTATTCTAAAATCTTCCTGTTCAAAAATTATACCAACTTTTTCCGATAATTCACCAATGTATGGCAAACAACGGAAACCCAATGACTCATTTATGGTGGGGTGGCTGAGTCCTATTGTTGGTTCTTTTAAAGTTAATTTTTTTATTCTTTTAACTAGTAACCTATTAATAAATATTTCTAGATACCCATTGTATTTTGCTGTGGTTTTAATTCTTTTTTATAGTTAGCAGGAGTTAATGGAAGTTTTAACATACATTCTATGAGCCAAATGAAACCTGCAGCCTTTTGGGACCATGGGTGGGAAGAATCCACTGGAATCATAGTGTCTGTAGTTGTGGGTTTTCTATATACATCTATTTCTATTAGGTTGTTTATTATGGACAATTTTAGGTCTAAAAAGTTCAAACAAGCATCTTTGTTAATTTCCAATGTAAAATTTATATTACGGTGTAGAGAATTAATTAGTTGGAGGAATTCTTCGAGAACCTCTATTTCTGTCCAAATGCATAGAATATCGTCTACATAGCGTTTCCGTTTCGCATTGGCGGGGGTATCAGCGGGTTCACTTCTGCAATTCATGTCGAGAGACGTGTTTGTGGAAACCCTTCAACCTGACGATGAGCTAAAGGGCTCGAAATCCGGATTGTTGCGAAACAACTTAATGTGAGTAGGAGCCATCTTTTTTGAAAAGGATTGAACTCCACACTCACCCCATCATTTATGATTACTAGCTCTGTATATAGAGTCAAGTAATATAACCTATCCATTAAGTGGGACACTTTGAGCTTTCCCTACTTGCTGGAAACTTACACAGATCAATATTCTCAATATCACACTACACATTCCCGCTAATAAATACATTCAATCTCAATATACACAAAAAGGAACACAAAACTATCTATCGATTGTTCTAACACAGAGGCCCAAATAATCCGTTGCTAAAGCACAATTTCCATATCAGGTCAGTCTACTCTATGTATAGAGCCAAGTAATTTCACCATACATTAACTGGGACACATAAACTGCTTTTCTCTTCATACTGGACACATGCAATCTATGGCCAAGAATGTATCAACTTTTCATGACTGATCCCCCTTCTATAAGTACCACCCATCGATCCTGTTCTTGATACTGTAAGCGGACGACGGCGTGGC